AATTAGAGTAAGTATAGGCAGCCACTGTTGGTACACACTAAACAGAATATTCGGAATAAGGTTCATCAGTTTGGTATGAATAATAAAAGTTAACTTTGTTTTGAACACAAACAGGAATTGAAAACTTAGTTTGCAAGCTTTCGAAAACGTCTGTTTCCTTTGTCAAACAAAGAGTGTGAATGACCCCATTTTATCATCCACTAAGAGGTGTAATGTAAATGTTACTTATACTTAAACTGTCATCTGGTTTCACATTTTAATCTAATTCTGTAGTTGTCAGGCTACACATTGTTCAAACTTGCATAAAGTTTTGTCCTCTATTTTGCTATTTCAACGCTGTTATTAAGTTTATCAAGTTCTGACTGAATTGATATACATGTTACAAGTAGGGAGGTATTGTAGTTTAGTGGTAGGACGCTGGGCTCGTGACTGAAGGGTTGCGGGTTAGAGTCGAGGCACTGCACTGTGTTGTATCTTTTAGCAAGATACTTTACTCCACTTGTTCCATTCTACTCAGCTGTGGATGAGTACGTGGTTGGGCAGTGCTGGAATTGTTGAATGCTAGCTGTGAACGCCGAAATGGAAGCACCGGCTGTATGCTCCCCAGTCCCCAGGGAGTTGAGAATGATATTGGCTGGTTGCAAAGGCCCTATAACCACAGATTATAATTTGTGAACTGCTTTGAGACAACCTACGAACTAGGTTAAGAACCTCAAATTATTTATTATTATTATTACAGGAGGTTGTACTGCACTGCTGAAGGTGACCAGTACAAGGTGCCAGACTACTTACTGACCATCGGTCAAATAGTCGCAGCCATCTTCCCAGAGGACAACAACTGGCATCGTTGTGTGGTCACAGCTCTCAACGTGGACAATTACGTAGAGGTGAGTGTTGTTAACCCTATAGGTCATCCGTACAATCATGATCACAATTTTAGACTTTACAATTTTATTAAAAATTGAAAGCTTTCTTTACTTACCTGTTAAGAGACATTAGATATTGGTCATTATAGACCGGTAACCATGGGCAAGGTTTTACTGTATTGACCAGTCAAAATAGTCCTGACAAAAGAAGGTCAAACTTGACCTCTGTTTTTACCTCACTAGTTATGAGAAACTGAACTTATACTGGCCTCCAATGTCCATATCCGTTCTGAGTAAAGTAGTGTTTTCTAATATTTAAATGACAATATTTTGCACATAAACTCATTTTAATGATGTTTTGGAAAGTTTTGTCGAATTTTTTTTAACTCCACATGCACTGGTGTTTATGTATATCTATCACAATTTAAATTAAATTTCTTAATTGTAATGTATTTCAAACTTGCTTTGAAAAACTGCTCAACTAGCTAGCTGAACTTGCAATCGATTATATGTAACCTATATTATCTCCAAATTATTTTGGAAATAATTTTCTGAAAATGAGATGTAAGCATTTTGCTATGAATGTCACCAGTGGGTAAATGATATTTGAATAAGTGCTCAGTGTGTTGTAAGATACACATCCGGTACATGGTCAGATGTAACATGTTTGTTTTGTTATTTAGGTGTACTTTGTGGACTTCGGGAACACATCAGTCGTCCACAGACGGAACATTCGACTACTTCGGTAAGTCAGTGTGGAGGTGTATGGAGATAATGAACTGTCCATCCTCACACTTTGCGCTCAATTAGTAAACCTGCATCTGATTTTGTATTTAATCTGGTAAATATGGCTTCATTGAACAACCCACGTATCTTATGACAGAGTTCATGTTGGAACTCTTTGCCATATAACATAGAATTTTCCCTTTGATATACTGAATGACCTAAAATCTGGAACTCCAATCATCCTCAATTGAGTGTCAAGCTAGCTAATTAGTAATCTTGATTTGTTTCTTATTCCAGCTTTTGTTAAGATACATATACACAATTCAAAATAAAATAAATTACAGGAACATTTTTGTAAACTCATTGAACCTGGTGTATTTGTTAGATATTCAAAGATTAAGTATACTACATGTACTTTGTTAAGGTCAAAATTGCTGAAGCTGCCAGCTCAAGCCGTACAGGCCCGCCTCTCACACCTACAACCTCGGGAGGGAGTAAGTATTAATAATTAAATGGGGCTAACACAACTACAACCTCGGGAGGGGCTAAGTACTAACATTTAAATGGGGCTAACACAACTACAACCTCGGGAGGGGCTAAGTACTAACATTTAAAGGTGTTCACACCTACAACCTCGGGAGGGGCTAAGTGCTAACATTTAAAGGAGTTCACACCTACAACCTCGGGAGGGGCTAAGTATTAACATTTAAAGGTGTTCACACCTACAACCTCGGGAGGGGCTAAGTGCTAACATTTAAAGGTGTTCACACCTACAACCTCGGGAGGGGTAAGTACTAACATTTAAAGGTGTTCACACCTACAACCTCGGGAGGGGCTAAGTATTAACATTCAACTTTAAAAATATAGCAGCAACCTGTGTATTGATAATATATTTATGCAAGTGGACTTCTGGTGAATTGCTTGCCTGACCAAAGCGGTAGTTATCTCCCATGTTTTGTTGCACTATCAATCTATTTCACATGAAGGTAAATTTTAAATTGACTAATTAATCATTTTGTTTAAATCAATTTTCAGAGCTGGACATTGAATGCCAGAAACCGGTTCCTCAATCTAGTCACCAACAGACCCCTCATAGCCCTTGTAGACTTTGAAAAGGTATGTATATAGCTCCGGATCTGGTATACGACCCTATTGGTTTCTTGTTTGTTATTTAGGTCTGTTTAAGTCTGCTTTAAACACAATCAATTTATTGGTGATAATTGTTCGGAACAATATGTAGAATTGCAACACTGGAAAAATGCACCTTGTGGAATTTCTTGATTAAGAGCTAAAATTAAGAGAGAAAAAAGGAAGTGTGTTGTGCTAAATAGCTAAACAAACCCTGTGTAAGTGTTGCTTAGTCAGCATCTCTAGGCCTAATATGGAGTATCTGTAAACTTCATATTCTGAGAACCTTTTGATTAGTAGTGTGAAGTTATTTTATAATTTTGATAACTATAATAGATAATTTGCTTTTGAAGTACAGAGAGTTCAGAAGCATAACTGGGTGACCTGACCTTGACCTTTGATCCATTGTTTGTAGGATCGTGTACTGTCCCTAGTGTTGGTGGACACTTCGACCAAGGTTGACATCTGCCTTACTGATCTTTTGGTGACAGAAGGGTACGCTCGAGTGGAGGAGGACAATCTGGCCACCAACTTTACAGGTCCTGTCGGGCACAAGGAGGTAGGCTTAGTTTCCTTTTAATACAAGTTTTGTTTTTACCTTCATTTCTTAGTATTATTAGAAGGAGTATTAAAATGTAGTTTAGATTACTAGAGTCACTCAGTTGATATGTTGTGATAGACTTTTCTTCTGTTGTTATCCCTGGTGTGTTGTAAACAAGCGTGTGATGGGGAAGAAGTGGCTGACCCTCCAGCCTGTGAGCTGAGGGGTTGGTCCATGTGTGGTCAAAAAGTGCAAAATCTTTCAAATAACATCTTCTCTGAAATTAATCGGTGAATTTTCACCATCAGTCATTAATATGATCATCTGATGAAGATCAAACTTACTGTAAAAGTATATTAATTTCGTTGGGGTTAAATTTCGGGGTTTACGTTCAGAGACAAATAATTCGGGATTAGTTTTTGTGGAATCAATATTTTCAAAATGGAATATATACACACAACTTATCTTGTCAGTAAGAAAGTTTTACACCCAGTAGTAAGAGTAACACAAAACATATAGAAATATGTAAAGGTAAGTTCAGGTGGGATTTGTTGACCTAGAGTGGAGAAATCTTTACACAATGTCTCCTTAAACTGACTGGTCGATTTTTATCAACATTCCATAGTGTGGTTCTTTGAACATCTAAATCTATACTCAGGAAGGGTTTGACCCCAGGGGGCTTACTGACGGGGCCATTAGAGATCACAATAGTGCAAAACCTTCGAACAACATTTTTGAAACTGGGTTTTGTGTGGATACTGGGGCCTTGTCTAGGTACTTCCTCAGGAATTCATGTCTACCCTTTATCATGGGGCCGTCAGTAGATATTGCCTGTTAAATTGATGACTGCTCTTTGTCCTGGGACCTTGTCTAGGTACTGTGAGATGAACCAGTGCTGACTCTTTCTTTCTTGAAGTGTTTACCTAGGCTGCCATCTTTCATATACATTGACGTGCCCTAAGTCTCTTAGTTACATCATTTTCCCATTAGATTCTATGTTAATTTACTTTCAAAAAATTAATTTTCCTGGCTTCGTTTTTAGTAAAAAAAACGTTGATGAAATTCAGCAAAAAGCTAGAGAATTATTTAGCACTTTTCTTTGTAAAATTAATATAATTATCCATTTCATAGAATTCTAATCGTTACTTGGCAAAAATACATTTTGCAGCACGTCAGAGTATAAATTTCATGCTGGGATGAAATGCAATATCTCAATAACAGGGCCACAAAACATAATATAAATGTTATCAAAGAAAACACTGGATAATTCTCTATTAGGATGTCAAGTTTAATCAAAATTGGATATCAAATGAAGTCACAAAGTTTAAAAGAAAAACAAGTAAATTAACATAGAATCCAATGGGAAAATGATGTTACGTGAACGACTTATGGCACGGCACTGTATGTATGTCACCAAGACATGAAACACTAAACAAAATAAAAACAAATCAGTCAATATGTTTTATAAGTCATGGCCATCAGCATTGTATCCTGTTGTGTCTAACATGTGTTGAATATTACATTAGGTTCCTGAATCGGCAAAAAAAGTCTTCTTCAAAATGTGTCTGAGCTGCAATGGGAAGGGGAGTTATTTCCCTTAGGCCTTGCTATTTGAGATAACTGTCCAAGTCTAAAAACTGACCAGTGTTTAGTGACAGCCTCAGTCTAGCTTTTGTTTAAGAATTACAAGTCTCTTTAAAGTTTCTCTTTTGAGTTGACTGACTCCTGGAAATAAAATCTGAATTGAGGGGCCTGCATAGCAACAGATCACGCCCCCTTGCTTTTCCTTGGCAGGGTAAAATGGAGATGAGTAGTTTCGGCTCATGTAAGGAGGTGTTCTATTTCAAAATTATTAATATAGTTGGATTTAATTACCATGTGAAACTGGAGCGGTCTTTATTATAATTATGCCAACCCAACATGATCATATATATTAATAGCAATTCCTGGATAAATGATAAAATAATCAACATCAAGAGTTTTCTGCTGAATCAGATAGGTAATCTATTGTCAAATGACCATAAACAATACCTAGATATATGTTGCATGCATGTTTTCATCATACATTGCAGATAGCTCAAGTTTATATTGTTTATATAAGCTAAAACACCTGTGTTCATAATTAGCTCCAGAAGTGTGTTCATTACAGCTATAAATAAGTGTACATGTTGTCGGAGACATCAGAGGAAAACTTGTGGTTTTGGTTTTTAACATATATTTGTTCTCAATGTGTGTGTTATAACTCCTGTCGCATTATCATATCATCAAATGGTACTATACATGTCTAGTTGTTCCTATTTCTGATCAGTCAGTTTGATTAGAGGATAAAAACCATGGAGTCAGTCAAACAGTTCTGGTGAAAACTTTTTGATACAGTATTCTGTATGATGGGGTATGGGATAGTCTCTTGAGATATTGATGTTATGATGCTTTGGATGTCAACATCTCAGGAAAGATTTATATGTATACAAGGTTCCATATCATATTTGGAAAAGAAAAAGTATGTGTGCCCTCTGAAATTGTACAAAGATTGATAATAAGTTTGTTTGAAATATCAACTGCAAAGTGTATTATATAGTCTGGCGGAACTAGACTGGGTCGATCGCTGGTGACCAGGTTCATGTGGAACTAGACTGGGTCGATCGCTGGTGACCAGGTTCATGTAGAACTAGACTGGGTCGATCGCTGGTGACCAGGTTTATTATATAGTCTGGCGGAACTAGACTGGGTCGATCGCTGGCGACCAGGTTCATGTAGAACTAGACTGGGTCAATCGCTGGTGTCCAGGTTCATGTAGAAGTAGACTGGGTCGATCGCTGGTGACCAGGTTTATGTAGAACTAGACTGGGTCGATCGCTGGTGACCAGGTTTATTATATAGTCTGGCGGAACTAGACTGGGTCGATCGCTGGTGACCAGGTTCATGTAGAACTAGACTGGGTCAATCGCTGGTGACCAGGTTCATGTAGAAGTAGACTGGGTCGATGGCTGGTGACCAGGTTCATGTAGAACTAGACTGGGTCAATCGCTGGTGACCAGGTTCATGTAGAAGTAGACTGGGTCGATCGCTGGTGACCAGGTTCATGTAGAACTAGACTGGGTCGATCCCTGGTGACCAGGTTCATGTAGAACTAGACTGGGGCGATCGCTGGTGACCAGGTTTATTACATAGTGGGGCGGAACTAGACTGGGTCGATCGCTGGTGCCCAGGTTCATGTAGAACTAGACTGGGTCGATGGCTGGTGAACAGGTTCATGTAGAACTAGACTGGGTCAATCGCTGGGGACCAGGTTCATGTAGAAGTAGACTGGGTCGATCGCTGGGGACCAGGTTCATGTAGAACTAGACTGGGGCGATCGCTGGTGACCAGGTTTATTACATAGTCGGGCGGAACTAGACTGGGTCGATCGCTGGTGCCCAGGTTCATGTAGAACTAGACTGGGTCAATAGCTGGTGACCAGGTTCATGTAGAACTAGACTAGGTCGATCGCTGGTAACCAGGTTCATGTAGAACTAGACTGGGTCGATTGCTGGTAACCAGGTTCATGTAGAACTAGACGGGGTCGATGGCTGGTGACCAGGTTCATGTAGAACTGGACTGGGTCGATCGCTGGTGACCAGGTTCATGGAGAACTAGACTGGGTCGATCGCTGGTGACCAAGTTCATGTAGAACTAGACTGGGTCAATCGCTGGTGACCAGGTTCATGTAGACCTAGACTGGGTCGATCGCTGGTGACCAGGTTCATGAAGAACTAGACTTGGTCAATCGCTGGTGACCAGGTTCATGAAGAACTAGACTGGGTCGATCGCTGGTGACCAGGGTTATTACATAGTCGGGCGGAACTAGACTGGGTCGATTGCTGGTGACCAGGTTCATGTAGAAGTAGACTGGGTCGATCGCTGGTGACCAGGTTTATTACATAGTCGGGCGGAACTAGACTGGGTCGATCGCTGGTGCCCAGGTTCATGTAGAACTAGACTGGGTCGATTGCTGGTGACCAGGTTCATGTAGAAGTAGACTGGGTGGATCACTGGTGACCAAGTTCATGTAGAAGTAGACTGGGTGGATCACTGGTGACCAGGTTCATGTAGAAGTAGACTGGGTGGATCACTGGTGACCAAGTTCATGTAGAAGTAGACTGGGTGGATCACTGGTGACCAGGTTCATGTAGAACTAGACTGGGTCAATGGCTGGTGACCAGGTTCATGTAGAACTAGACTAGGTCGATCGCTGGTCACCAGGTTCATGTAGAACTAGACTGGGTCGATCCCTGGTGACCAGGTTCATGTAGAACTAGACTGGGTCAATGGCTGGTGACCAGGTTCATGTAGAACTAGACTAGGGCGATCGCTGGTGACCAGGTTCATGTAGAACTTGACTAGGTCGATCGCTGGTGACCAGGTTCATGTAGAAGTAGACTGGGTCGATGGCTGGTGACCAGGTTCATGTAGAACTGGACTGGGTCGATCGCTGGTGACCAGGTTCATGAAGAACTAGACTTGGTCAATCGCTGGTGACCAGGTTCATGAAGAACTAGACTTGGTCAATCGCTGGTGACCAGGTTCATGAAGAACTAGACTTGGTCAATCGCTGGTGACCAGGTTCATGAAGAACTAGACTGGGTGATGGCTGGTGACCAGGTTCATGTAGAACTAGTCTGGGTCAATCGCTGGTGACCAGGTTCATGTAGACCTAGACTGGGTCGATCGCTGGTGACCAGGTTTATGTAGAACTAGACTGGGTCGATCGCTGGTGACCAAGTTCATGTAGAACTAGACTGGGTCAATCGCTGGGGACCAGGTTCATGTAGAAGTAGACTGGGTCGATCGCTGGGGACCAGGTTCATGTAGAACTAGACTGGGGCGATCGCTGGTGACCAGGTTCATGTAGAACTAGACTGGGTCAATGGCTGGTGACCAGGTTCATGTAGAACTAGACTAGGTCGATCGCTGGTAACCAGGTTCATGTAGAACTAGACTGGGTCGATGGCTGGGGACCAGGTTCATGTAGAACTAGA